GGCGAGCGGCGCAGAGAGGCCGGCCAGCGCCGCCGGCAGCGCGGCGACGATTCCGTCGACAGCGGCGGTGGGGTGGAGGGCGGCGGCGTTGGGGTAGATGACGAAGGCGAACAGGGTAAAGAAGGCGATGAAGGTGGAGACGAGGCCGGTGAAGACCTGCTGCTGCGAGAACTTGTTCGAGAGCCACGAGTAAAAGACGGTGAAGCCGATTGCGCCAGGCAGGTTGACGTATGTCTTCAGGAAGGGGATGATCTCGGCGCCCGAGCCCGGTGCCGTCACGACGAGCACATCCTGCGTACGCACAGGCGACGGGCAGGGGTGGAGACGGCGGCAGGGAACAGGCGAAGCAGGGGCAGCGAGAGGCCCGCCTTTGTGTCCCGCAGGATCGTGTACGCAAACAGAATGAAGAAGAACATGGCGCCGAGCGGCGTCACCTTCTTGAGCTCGGCCGGGGGCGGCAGCTTCGCCCGCAGCTTTGCCAGCGGACCGCCCTTGCCGTCTCCGGCAGCCGCGGCCTGCATCGACAGTTGAGCGGAGCGGGCAGGCGCAAGCCGCGGCATGGCCTGCGGCCTCATCCCATATGCGGCAGCCAGCGGCGCGACGGGAGCGCGGGCGAGGGCGAGAGCGTGGGCGTGGCCGGCGACGAAAAGGGCGGCGGTCAAGCGGAGTACTCTCATGTGTGTATGTGTATGTGTGTATGCTCGGTGCTCGGAGCCGCCCGCCAGTCGTCATCAAGGGCGCGGGGTTTTCTTTTTAAAAATCCCTCCCGAACTCCTCCACCTCCCTGTCCCCCCGCCCCTCTCCCTCTCCGCCTCTCAGCAGCCTGCCTCATTTCAGGGGTACAGCGGCTGGACGGCCCCGCGCGCACCAGCAATATTACATACACATTAGTGACCGAAACTAACTGACCTCGGCATGCAGTCACTCAGTCACGCGAGAACCTCCTCGAGGTCAGCCATTGCGAGGGCTGCATGTGTGGAGACGTACTTCGGGTGGTGCGCAAGTCGGCTCCAATACTCGACCGCCGACCGCAGGCGAAGCCAGCGGCGCACTTGCTGCCAGAGCACGTAGCCGTTCGGGCGCGCTGCCTCACACCGCCGGCAGCAGGACTTTTGCCGAAGCAACCTCGCTCGGTCCCCACGCGTCTTTGTGGTTGCACTCGTTGATTGATGTAAGGCAGCTCGAACCACTCGCGCTCCGGTCTGCTGTCGAAGCACCATGTCACAAATTCGGGGCGGAATGTGTCTCTTGTTCTCCGGATGCAGACTATAGTCGAGCGCGTCGGAGAGGTGTTTCGACACCGAGTGTTTTGAACGTTTCTTCGTAGAAGAAATCGTCGACAGAAAAATTCTCTCGCCGGTGTTCACAGAGCTCTGTGAACACCGGCTACTCGGCCTTAGCCGCCGGTACGTCAACAGTGCGATAGCCAAGTATCGCACTGTTGGGTCCCGATGGTGTCCCATCACAAATTCGTGCTGTCGACAGATCATGTCCTTTGGTCGACTGCACCCGCCTTTGGACGGTTCTCCGACATGCTTAGATGAGTCTTTTTTGTCTTTTTGGTTCGCCTGGTCTTCACCAGTGCGAACATATTCTTGCTCGTAGGAGTCGCTCGTCTTTTGTCCGAGCAAACGTGCGCCCGATCGCCCCATTAAGCACGTGCGAAGGGTATCCGAGTGCCGTAAACTCCCTGAGCTTGCTCGTCACGCTGAGCGTGAATCCCTCGTCATCGCTCGCCATCGCGACCACCTTGAGCAGGCATCCAACCACGATGCCCGCCTTCATTTTAGCGCATGTGAAGCTATCCCAACGATGGTAGCGCCACACTCGCGGTGCCGTCTCGCAGCCCTCATTAACGTTCTTGAGTCTCGTCCGGAAACTTCCGCTTGGGTCGAGCTCAAGAGTCGTTTCCAAAAAATGGGTGCTCTCGGCGGCTTCCAGCTTCAAAGGGGCCCAGTAGCACTCCGAACGACGGAAATCATCTCGGAAACGATCAACATCCCATGCGCTATCGTCCTTCGCAGTCACCGTGATCACATCGTCCATGTAGCGCTTCATACGGAAACGCGCTTTCGTATCATCTTCGAGCGTTTGCATCCACTCGTGCTCCATCCACGCAAGAGTCCCTATCGCCAGCGGTGGTGATAGTGCACTCCCCATCGGGATACCGTGGGCCTGCTTAAGCAAACGTCCGTCATATGTGATTACGTAGCAGTTATCCAGATCGAAATCGATAACCTCGAGCATCGTCGAGAAGCTAATCGATGCGTGTCCCCACACCTCTCCTTGCTGCGCCCACGAGCACTTCTTCTTGCCTCTTTTAGGCACAAGTATTTTCGGGTCCTCTCCCGCGCCCGGCGGCAGATTCTTGCGCACATCGCCTAGAATGTCCCTCATCGCTACCCGCATTGCTTCTTTCGGCATGCTTGGGTAACAGCTGTCGACGTCGTTAATCTCGTAGCTAAGTTCGCCCTTCCCTCGGAGCGCCTCGGCCGCTTCTCTCAGCATTTGGGGCACACTTTGGCAATCGTGTTGGATGAAGTGTTCACCCTTCAGGCGCCGGAGTGCGAAACTCCACGCCCGGCCCACGAGGCTCAAAAGCTTCGCCATCGGATGCTTCGCGTACGGCGTGATCGGCCTCGCTTTGTGCAGCTTCCGAGCTCGTACTGCCGGGTCAGTCACATTCTTTGCCTTATACAGCGCGTATGGCGCAGTTACCCTTCCTTTGCTATCGAATTTGGTGATCTTATGCCATCCCTTCTTTCTGTAGAACCATCGCCATGCTGAGATTAGTGTCGCGTCGAGCGTTCCGTCCGTACTCAGCTGGTTCGCCCGTACCCGCGACCGATCCTCTGTCGTCATATTCTTGAGCAGTTCCTCAGCTCCATGCTTCTTCCTTTTATATGCCGTGTCCTTAAGAGGGTACACGCGCGTATAATTGCCGTTTGAAGTGTCGAAGAGCGTGTCTAGCGTCTTCTCGTACGTGACGGGGCACGTAACAAAACACTCTCCGACATTCTTGTCGAGCCACCCTATCACGCTTCCTCGCAGGACACTCCTCACCTGAGCAACCTGGTTCGATGTGATCGCGTCTTCACATGGCATACACGTCTCATCCGTCTCCTCAAGAGTCTCAGCAAGTATCCGTTTCCACTCGCGCTCTCCCCCGGCTTCACGTACACTCGTGGGAAGGCTTCCGAGCGCCTTGTCCCATGCCACACGCATGTCCCTCGCTGTCGGGACGGGCACATTCTTGTTGCTCCGGCGTAGCACCTCGGCGTGAGGGCCGTTGTACTCTCGCCCGATGCAGAAGATATGCCCCTCCGTCATCGGCAGAGGCTCGAACCCGAAAGCGACAAGTCGCTGCTGTATCGCCTGACAGGCGCATCTCTGCGGCCTTTTAGGGTCGCTGACATTGGAGAGTCTCTCGACGACATTTTTCTGCCGCACCGTCACTATCTTGATCCTTTGGCAGTGCCACTCAATGATGTGTTCCGGCCAAGGTTGCCGCCTCACTAGCTCATCGAGGTAGGCTCGAAGCGGGCGAGCGTCAACTCCTGGTACGAAAGGTAACCTCACCTCAATCAGATCCCGTGTGAGACCTTCATACCTGGTCTCGTACTCTGTCCAGAGCATACGTCTCATACGCAGCCATGTAGATTTGTCGCTGTAATTCCTCCTTTTCCATAAACGGCCCATTTCTTCTTCTGTCAAGTCGCAAACTTCTTTACTGACGTCCGCGAAGAAGTCGTGCGCCGACGCGTCCTCAGCTCTCACATACCAAGTGCTGCTCGCAAGCAGGAACGCTGCGCTGCTCACACGCTCCGGTTCCGCCGCCATGTGTCTCGCAATGACGGTGAAGCTTCCATCATCGTTTCCAGAACGTATCGCCTCCAGTCCGTCACGAAAGCTCATCGCACAATCATTGTGCGTAGCGATGTTCCAGTGAGCGTACCTTTCCTGAAGGTATCTCCAGCTGGACACGTGCATGCCTCCACGACGATAGCTGACTGTGAAGCTAAAGCTCTCGCCCTCAACGTTATCCTCTGCCTCTCGCAGGATGGTGCCAAGGTTGACGCATCTGCGTGTCTCGCCTTCCCGCCAAAAGGTAGCAAAAACTCGCGGCCTCGTCTCCCCTTGTCCCTCACCATCGCCGCCCCGCAATAAAGCCTGGGGACCGTCAGCGGGCACCTCGTGCGCTCCTAGGGGCAATCCGAGCCCTGGCCCCGCACGCGGCCCTGCTGCCCTCCCGTCTGCCGAAATCGACCAGGCCCATCGCCGTGGGCCCACCGGCGACTGCGGCGGCCCTAGCACCGGCCGATTGTTTGAGCGATGGCCTGTGCTGCGGCCGTCTCGGACGTTCAAGCGGCGCCAGCCAGCGGCTCGGCCGCGCATCCTTCACACACGCCGCCACGACCGGGATGAGAGGGCCCGGTGTCGAGCCATGGTGTGAGCTGCATGTGCGCGGCGGCCGTGGCGACAGCAGGTCCACCAGACGGACCTCAAAGCTTGCCGTCGGCGTGCTGTCGTGGCGAGAGCGCGAGACAGCTGCAGAGGAGCCGAGTGCAGTGGCGAGCCAGAGGCTACCTGGGTCACCAAGTGGTGGTTCTTGCCCATTCTGAGCAGGGCTGTGCTTTGGTGGGGTTGTGCTTGAGCGTGTGTGAAGTGGGAGTGCGTGCCGGCGGTGTCTGTGGGTGAAACAGGCGTGTGTGAGGCCGTAAGAGCCGTGGTATGAGCCAGAGTGGGCTTCATCACCCAAAGTAAGGACGGTCTGGGACGGCTCAGGCGTGCTACTGATGGGCCTTGGCCAGGAGAGAGACAGAGAAGGCGAGGTGGTGAGCTGGGAAGCCGCTTTGTCTGCACCTGGACGTGTCGTGATGAACTGCCGAAAAGTACTATTTGCGGCTATTGCTCAAAAGTTCGGGAGACAAGGCCTACACATTATGACTGCATCCATGCGCCTGGTGCATGAGGGCCGCGGGTCGGGACATATCACGGTCGGTGGCGCCGATAATGACCTCCGGAATGCCCTCGCAACCGCTCGGCAAGGGGTCCACCGGAGACAATCTCGAGCCCTCTCCGTGGCATCACGAGCCGGTGTGAGCTTGCAGACCCAAGGTAAGTGCGGTCTGGGACGGCTCAGGCGTGCTACTGATGGGCATGGGCCAGGAGAGCGACAGAGAAGGCGAGGTGGTGAGCTGAGAGGCTGGAGCGTCCGCGTGTGACCTTGTCGTGAAGCACGTGCCACGAAGCGCTATTTCCTGCTCTCAGCTCACCACCTCGCCCTCTCTGTCGCTCTCCTGGCCCAGGCCCATCAGTAGCAAGCCTGAGCTGTCCCAGACCGCACTTATCTCGGGTCTTCAAGCTCACACCGGCTCGTGATGCTCCGGTGTAGGCGCTCGAGAGCACTCCCGGTGGCCCGTGCCGAGCGATTGTGAGGGCTTTACGGAGGTCATTGTCGGCGCCACCGACCGTGAAATGTCCCGATCCACAGCCCTCATGCACCAGACGCATGGATGCA